TGATATATGGACTATCGGAACTTTCTGGGTTTGATATATGGACTATCGGGATTAGCTGGGTTTGATATTTGGACTATCGAAACTTTCTGGGTTTGATATATGGACTATCGGAACTTTCTGGGTTTGATATATGGACTATCGGGATTAGCTGGGTTTGATATATGGACTATCGGGACTAGCTGGGTTTGATATGTGGACTATCGGGATAAGCTGGGTTCGATGTGTGGACTATCGGATCTTTCTGGGTTTGATATATGGACTATCAAAACTTTCTGGGTTTGATATGTGGACTATCGGGACTACCTGGGTTTGATATGTGGACTATCGGGATAAGCTGGGTTCGATGTGTGGACTATCGGATCTTTCTGGGTTTGATATGTGGTATATCGGGACGAGCTGGGTTTGATATGTGGACTATCGGGATTAGCTGGGTTTGATATATGGACTATCGGAACTTTCTGGGTTTGATATATGGACTATCGCAACTTTTTGGGTTTGATATGTGGTCTATCGGAACTAGCTGGGTTTGATATATGGAATATCGGGACTAGCTGGGTTTGATATATGGACTATCGGGACTAGCTGGGTTTGATATGTGGTCTACCGGGACTATCAGAATTAGTTGGGTGGTTTTTTTCGAAGATGTTAATTTCCGTGTCACAATGGCTGATTCAATTCACATTTACCGACATTTTTAATATTAAAAGTTAGCTCTTTTTGTACTAGAGTTAAATATATAGTGTTTGTGTGTTGGATATAATGCGAAAATTAATAATCTGAAAGGAAGCAAGCACAACAAATAACGTTTGGCAATATTTGCGAATGGACATTGATATGGCAGACCGGTCACCATCGACTGTTCTATGGCTGCGAATAAATGCTGACAAAGACGCAATATCGAGTGCACAAGAACACGTACAGGTACAAGTGCCCTTTACCAACAGTCTCCATAATTTATCACATGTATTGTTATCAAATACCTGGATGGAAACGTCGCCACATAGTCTCGGCACTCAGCCCTACCCATTGTATCGGGCGCTGTGATATTGACGTCACAACCAGCAGAAAGCATGATGACTGCAATAGGTAATACGTATTTTTTTATATACGTATGACTGTAGGTTTTAACCAAAGCAACAATGGCGTGTGTTCATCAATGGACATAATTATATCGAAAAGTAAGCAAAATCAACTTATCATTTGTCCACTACACAACTTTCAGTGAAAGTATTACTTTGATATTTTGTACATATTCAATTGTACAATTCAATTTAGTGTAAGAATGTTTTGAAATAGTGTTTGTTTGCTTAAAGAATTAGCAAGAAAATACGCAATAACTTTTAAAAAAGGATACCCATGCACATGCTATTACATTCACATTCAATATTCTATATTTTTTAGTTTCATTTGGTGTATTATTATATGATAAATTCACACACACTATAATAAGAATTTATATGCATAAAAACGTGGTTACAAGGAACTATAATAATGTATACCGCTCACAAATTCAGTTACACTAATCCAGTTTAGACTAGGTCTCTTAATTGTAGAGCTAAACGTGGGCGGTATAGCACCACTTGTACAGCATTCGAGCATTTATTCCAAATATGACATGAAGAAAATATGGGGAGGAACGATAGGCACAATAAACTAAACTCGTTGACGAAATGTTTGAGATCGACACTGACCCCCAGGCTGGTACTTAATAACAATAGTGAAACCGATAATTAGGTGAAACTGTCAGCTACTTGAGATTTCAAGTGAATACATAATAATTGTCTTTTACTATAGTCCCACTCTATCAAGCTTTAAAGTACTTTTCATTAGGTGAGCCACTGTACACGCAATGACAAATAATGTTGACATTTGAATTCTAAAAAGTGACAACGTCAAATAAAAATATAACGGGTTAGAAGTCAACAATTCGTGGAGAAAACACGTTTTCAAAAAAATAATTTGTTTAAACTTTGCCAAAGTTCAATCACGCAAAGAATTTTTCTTCCCACAGAAAAAAATAATAAACGCCCTCATCGGATAGAGAGAAGACATGAAGACAGGCATGCATAGTATGATGTATATTATACGTTGTGCCCTCTAGCGATGAAAGGTTCTATGACGTAACTGGGTGGAAGGAACACCGTTCACAAATTAGCTGTTACCGTCGAATTTATTTTGTCCGATTGATACAACATTAGGACATTTGCACACTGTAAGGGTAGCATATACAGTGTATACTGACGTTGCCACCTTGTAAGGCTAAGCCTCTCTCTGACGGCCTCTCACTGGTGATTATTTGTCTCATTTTTCATGTCAGTGCTCGCCGTGTGCCATGGCTTTCTACGGTTCTCGTGAAATGGCGACTACTCGACCCGTAGTTTTCACATCGCACGGTATTTTGATATTGGTCTTGTGTACGGTCACTTTGCCTTTTATACATTTGTGCCTAAAACGAAATTTCGGTAAGATTTATGTTTGAAAAACATTAGTTACTGACATAATTTTGACTTCGCTAATCTAAAATTGCCAAAAAAAAAGAGCTACTCTTTGCCCGTGAAATGTGATAAAGACGTAGGCATTTTTGTTTACATTATTTAGTTCATCCATCTTGTTCCTAGACGCGTGGAGCCGGGAACAGCCACTGGTGGCGCTGTTTACAATCGAGACCTATTTCGGCTTGCCGTAGCTCATTTAGATTGTAAAACGAGAAAGCAGTTGTTAAATTGGTGACCAGTCTAGTATGATAGAAAGCGTTTACAGTCTTCAAATAACCACAATTGACAGAGTGGGGGATCAAGACCGAATATACGTGATTCCGGCGTTTCATACTAAATGATTTCTATTAATAATTTCACTTTCAAATAAAATTCATGAGATATGTCTACGTCATAACCTCGTTAAAGGCTATTAGCATGTTGTGTGCGCAGGCGCATGCTTCGATCTCTTTTTCCGTGTTCCACAGCGCATGATGTGTGAGGTCAATCGAAATTTACGTTACATGCATCGTCACGTTCAGCACCATCAATGGGTTTCACCACATTGATGGTGCTGAACGTTGTCTTCGTATTCGAAGCCCACACATAAGCGACGTCACTACCTGATGATTTGTACACATTCCCACTGTGTCATATGCTGTAATATGCAATGACAATCGTGGTTTCCCCATAACTCTGGGTTTGGAA